TACTTCTAAATACAGTAAAATAAAAATGCCTTTAGTATTTATTAAAGTATATTCCACTGCTTTTCCTAATTTCCCGCCCAATGAAACCCGATAAACAACGTTTTCTCAGAAAAACATGCAGGTTTTAGGGATTAATGAGTGGGGCTACATAAGCTACTGTTGTCCTTTTAAATAATACCTTTTCTATCAGGGTAGCCAGCCCTGTCCTCAGGCTATGAGCGTAAGGCAATTGCGGAGTGGTGTACTAATTGTATCCGATGTTTCCTTACTTGTCAGATAAATTGTTCACATACGTGCTAGTTCGCCAGATAATTATTTTTGGTCCGTATATGCCCGTATCATCTCGAATACCTTTCGGCTTGGATTCTTGTCACTTTAAGCACTGGCGCCCGAAGTCATATCGATTTAGATGCCACATAACAATTGCTCAAGTACGAATTTAAATGCCCATTGTCCACCACAACGCGAAGACAAAACACGTGGAAGGCATATTGACGCGATACCCACCCAACCATAGAATCCCTTGTTAGTCAAGGGGTATCCAGTTCATTGTGTCTGCACTTATCCCATTGTATGACGGCGAGCTAGGGGAGCAGTCTCAAAAATTTATACCTTGAAATTTCCATTTTCCAGAAGAATTTCTTATCTTCTTCCGTTGAGGGGTGCTGAACGCTGTACGAGCGTAGTATTTCGTCTTTTCCTGGTGTTAGAATTTCCCAGTTCTTGTCTACGTGTTTGGAGGCATACATTTTCAGTGAACATTCCGCTGTCCAATTCCTCATTGTTTTATAATCCAGTCCCGCGGTCCGGGACTGTGCATGAAACCACGAAAAAAATCATTATTTGTTTTCAAGATTGTCACGGGGAAGTCCATCCATGCTATGCAATCAATGGTAGGAATCTTTTGAGGCAGTTAAGTATGATGAAAGCAAACCACCTCCTGTCGGAATAATGGTCTAAAATCATTTATTGAAACGAGAAAGAGAAAGATCACTTTATTTTTACTACTCCATTTGAAAATTATCAGCAAAAAGTCCTTCCTTCATAGTGAATGAAATTATATTCAGGCACCACATAACACCGGATGATCGAACATGCTGCCCATTGGCTGAAAACTGTTACTGTCGACATCATTGACGGTCGCCGATAAATAGGTCACAAAATCAACTTCCGCTTTTTATTCCTTCACAATGATGCTAGTGTAGTGTGCCGAAGACGTCATTATTGTTGTTCAAATAAACAAGAAGAGTTTAAAAGCCATACATAATAAGCGAAAGTGACCAACTGATGTACTATGCGAAAGGAAAGCAGAAAAATGGTGGCTAAATTTAAAATGACTGCTAGATAAAATTCCACGCTTACAGTAAACTAGCATAAAATAGGATGAAACAAGCTTTCCTGCTTGTTTCTATCAGCATTTTGCCAAGTTGGACATGGAAAATGTCGCAAACTGTGCTACGGAAAAGATGAAACGAGAATATAAGCGCCGCATTTCGCTGTAGCATATACTTACAGGTGTCTCCATACTTTGACGAAGAGTTTGCAATATGTTTTACAAGTTGCATAAACTGTGATATAACTAACTTCGGGGAAGCTGTGGTTACCATTCCTGAATTACGGGCTATCGTTAGCCACCTTTGTCTTGATCACTGACTATAAAGTCAGTGACTTCAAGTCAGGATTCCTTTAAACTTAAACCCTGAGGTGAATGTATGTAATTAAGTCATGGACCAATCCATTTCGTTGCCATCAGGAATATTCCAAGCTATTTAGCCTTGGCATACACAGAGAAATATGGACTGTAGGACAGTAAAGAAGTTTCTTTTGTGTCTAAGAAGTTAGATCTAGAATCCACACATATTTCTGCCAAGTGAGCGGCAACTAGTAAGCCGATCTTGTTGACGGCCACCCAAAGTTAGACTTGGTTGGGGATTTCTGGCGGTTAATTGTTCCCAAACATTTACTCTCTTACTTTGTTTTACTTACGCTACAGCCGCCGACTGACGGGTATTGTAGCCATTCGAGCGTCTCTGACTTTTGGCGTACTTCCGTGTCGTGTTTGCCTGGACCGCTGCAATCACCAGTGGAGTACATATAACGAAAAGCCTGTGCAACACGTACAGTTCTTCACAGACTCGGGGTTGACAGATGGAGGCGCGGAAAGGCATCTGACAATGACCAAACTAAAGTAGAACATAATATTTATGTCAGGGCAATAGTAAAGCTTCTGATTACAACGCCTTCACAAAATATAGTGCAGTGCTTGCTGTTACGTAAGGTGCTTCAAATTATGTTCTTCCGGAAACCGCATCTGCACCAAGTAACAACAATTGACCAAATTCAGCTGGAACATAAGTAAAGACCAGTTGAATTGGATTATTAGCAGATATAAAGCGCCGTGGAATCTGACGAGAAAAAAACACAGTACACCGGAGGTTGGTCTGAGTAAATATTGGTTAGATTTAGTGAGACAGAGGATATTTAGTCAACATTTTTTCTCAGGCATGATTGCTCTAACAGTTTCCTATTTATTACCTTTTATTTTTCAGATTGAACAGAACTGCATACCTTCAACAGTCAAAGAGATAATTGAAACAGCGTGGTCGGAGACTCCAGAACTCCGGCCCACATTTGAGGAAATTTTCGAAAAGTTTACGGAAATCAAAAGCCGCAGGTTTGTGCAAAGTTTATACTACATTTCACGTTTTCAAGGGATCAAAGTAAGCGAACGAACGTTTTCGATTAATTCATCATCAGACATCTACAATAATATAAAGGGGTAGAGTCAGCAAAAGTGTAAGCAACCAATCAGCGGTAATAAAGGGGGAGAGGGGGAAATTGTTAAGAGATCAAAGGGGCAGGGGG